GGCAACCTTCCGATTACAAGGCGAACTCCCAACTCTCGAGCCACGATCGTCATATTGTCATATTGTTTCCTGCCCTCCTTTTAACTGTTTCTTTTTATTCTGTCTTATCCTTTTGCTCTGACCGACTGTGAAGCACTTTGGTCAACTTTGTTGTATTATTATGTGCTATAGAAATAAATTTTGATTTGATATTGCAACTGCTTCATTTAAGCAGACCAAAAAAATGCTTGCCTTAGACACAATGTGTAACATCCCCTCCAAATCTAATAGACATAAAATAAATAAGAAAAATGAAAAATTATTATGATATTTTTTCTTAGTAAAACCACAAAACTGCTTTATTACATGCAAATAAAAGTTTTTTTTGTTTTTATCACATAGATGTATTATTATGGCTTCATTAACATGTACTGTAGGATAATCCTGATATATTTCTGTGTTTAACTTCTACTGTGATTCTCAGGTGTAAGGCAAAAATTCAGAAAACAGATCACGTCGATTCCATCCTCCTCTTTCAAACTTACTAACAAAAACATGCTGAGACAACAGAAAGAAGAAGTGACATGAGCTCGTCACCGAGGACTTGGTTTCATCTTCTGAAACGGAAAAAACATCATGAACTTTTCTGTAAAGTCAAGTGTTGTTGTGATTTCTGAAATATTGTTGTGTTTTGTACCTCGCAGCCCCTGTAACGTCTTATTAACGTGATACTATTGCTCTACGGTTCACAGCGTTTTCTGTCTGGATTCTTTGTATAGATGCAGACACCTGAACAGAGTGTTTAAAACACCTGCGATTCATTTGATCAAGTTTCCCTTTATGCAAATTTATATTTTTTTCCTTTTCACTGCACTGACATCACTGCTGACTCTTCAGATGATAATTCTATAAATAATAAAGTGATGCACAGAGCTCAACAGCAGAAAGCTGCACAAAAATGAAATGGTAAATGGTAAATGGTCTGTATTTGTAGCGCTTTACTCGTCCCTAAGGACCCCAAAGCGCTTTACATATCCAGTCATCCACCCATTCACACACAAAGGAACAGTAATAATAATGCAGCAATAATTCTGCTGCATAATCAGTGCTTGAACTTTTGTACTTTGCTCGTTGCTCATATTAAACTTGCTCAGTCTCAAATAAAGAAATCAGTGCAGGCTCGAGAAATCCCTGAGCGCCACGGGTTTAAACCTTACTGACCTGCCACACTCACCTTTCTCCCACTGACTGTTTTTGCTTTCTCTGTGCTGACTTTGAGCCATGGTATGATTTAATCAGCTAATTTAAAAAACATTGAACCAATTTCAATCATAATTCTTCCTTCGGATGTTCCCTATTGGGGTCGCCACAGTGGATCTGCTGCCTCCATCCCACCCTGTCCCCAACCCTCAGAATGTCCTCCTTCACTACATCCGTGATCCTCATTCTTTTCCTGGCAGCTTCATCTTTAAAATCCCTTGTCCATTGTATCCACGATTCCTCCTCAGCACACGTCTAAACTCTTTCAGCCTTGCTTTTCTAATTTGTCTCCAGTCAATTCAGTTTTATTTATTAAGTGGCAAATCACAACAACAGTTACCTGAAGGGGCTTTATATTGGAAAGCAAAAACCCCACAAAGGTCACAGCGTATGGCCCCTGCATGAGTCTGAATCTAATGGAAGTCTCTTCCTGTTAAAATCAAATCAAATCAAATCACTTTTATTGTCACATCACATGTGCAGGTACATTGGTACAGCACATGTGAGTGAAATTCGTGTGTGCGAGCTTCACAAGCAACAGAGTTGTGCAAAATACAAGAATGGCTACATCTGAAACTAATAAATATATGTACAATATATAATAGTATATGCATTTCTGGATGTGTATACTAAATATTTTTCTACG